ACATAAGCAAATTTGAAACAGGGGTAGGTTATAAAATGGTCACTCACCTCTGAAACTGACAGGCCAAGTCTGAGAAGCTCTTCAGCTAATTCCAGAAGAGCTCCAGCAAAAACCAGAACAAAGTTTGTGCCATCTCCAACCTCCTGCTCTTGCATGTGAGAGGCCATCACAATCATTTTTGCAGCAGGATGTTGTACCTGGTAGAAGGCGTTCGAATTTAAATAGCAAGGTAAAACATTTAACCCTTAAAGCAATACGAAAATTTTCCTTTCCATTTCTTCTTAAATGACTCCAATCTCCTATGGGTCAGGTAACTCTTCTGATTCCACCTGTAGTGTGGTCACAAGAAGACAATCCAGGACCCCTTACAGCCATCAGCACGAATGCACCACCATAAATGACAGTAACTTCACAGGGCACTTTCTTTCAGTGCTCAGTCACTCAGTATGTACACTGTATACATAAGGTTCCTAACACTATTACAAGTATACTAAATTAAAAAACAAAGTAATTCCAACCTAAGGCACTTTTAAAAAAAGGCTTCAGAAGTGCTAAAGTAGATGTCATTTAGCTTGGTGTTAAGTCTCAATATTTATGTATATCCTCATTGAAAGGGGTTATCAATTATGGTCTAAAAAATATATATATAAAATATTCTTAAAGGGTATCAAAATTTTAAGTGGTCCTTCCCTAGAATTTAAGATGTTTTTTAAAGAGATAAGGAGTGACAACTGATAGCACTGAGAAAACTAAATAGCTGACACTGGTTTATTATGAAGACAACAGCCCCATAATACTTAAATAACTCCTGAGAACATCACGGAGTACAATGTTAACCTTCATAATGACAAGTCCCTCCACAGCTATCTCGTGGATCTGTTTTGTTCAATATTACTTTAACACTATATCATTATTTGGGCTTCTCTTGTGGCTCAGATGGTAAAGAATCTGCCTGCCATGTGGGAGACCCAGGTTCTATCCCTGGGTTAGGGCACGGCAACCCACTCCAGTATTCCTGCCTGAAGAATACCATGGACAGAGGAGCCTGGTGGGCTATAGTCCATGGGACTATAGAACTGAGCAAGTGACACTCTCATATCATTATTTAAGAAGCTGGAGAAACGTTAACTTATCTACGGAGTTCTGACTAAAGAATTAATCCTGGTGCTTTAAGAAAAATTCCCTGAGACTGAACATATCCTTCAATTAGCAGCTGGCTGAGGAGTGGCAGTCCATGTGTGATCAGGCGCCAGACTGTCCTCATAAACCCGCTGGCAGTTATCTGTTCTACAGACTCTACACCATCAAAACTGTAGGTGAACAAAACAAAATTCCACCAACTGATTTAATTTCACAAACACAATTAAAACAAACCCATCTTAAAGTATCAGCTACTTCTACATTATGGAATAATTCACTTTAGTGTCACGCTCTAAAGACGACAACATTCAATTTGATAGTATCAGCAAATATATATGTATATTTTATAACAACTAATCTCTCCATAAATTACAGAAGATTTTAACAGGAGCAAAGATGTTAAACATAAAGAGGATTCTCTATAACTAGAAATATCTATATAATGAATTTTCAAGTTGGGAATTAAAAAAAAACAAACCTCCTTATTATCCAATGTGAATGAAATAAAGGTTATTCGATGTTAGAATACACTGAATTTTTGACATCACCAAAACAGTTCTTGGGTTTTTAAAAGAAATAACTTACTTCTAGCTCTCTCAAAATAGTCGCTGCATCATTTGTCACAAACAACTTCTCCAGGTGGTTGATAACCATTTTGTTCATTCCTCAAAAATAGTTAGAAAAAGAAATCCATCGTCACTCAAACACTTCTCCAGACACCAAAGAAAATCCAGTCAAGAAACACAAATTTGCTATCCATTACTTGGAATAACGTTGTAGGAACTCAAAAACATACTACCTATTCTTAAAGCCACAGCCCAATAGCTTCCCCTGCCTGCACACCTGTATTCTTTCTTTCCTGCCAATTTCATATTTTTGTTCAATTTAAATTATATTGACATGTACAAAGACTAAAATTATTTACTTGAAAATATATTTGTTTTGCTTATTCCATAAATTTGTATCAATTAATTCAGTTGATGGTGGGAAGCAAGAGACAATTTTTCTCCCTTAAATTATGTCATTTTACGTAAGAGAACCGTTCCACAGCTGTAACAATGAACACTAGGTACTACCTCAAAGGTGAAAGCACCGTAACTTTTCTATCCTCTCAGTAGGACAAAAAGTAACATTTCGATTCCAACTTTTCTAAAAAGATCTGAACTGGGGATTAAAGATTAGAAAAACTGTGCAGGAGTTGTGAAATAATTTTCAATGCCATACTATATTATGCCTAAAACCCTCAATTTACATATACTATCCTCAAACAAGTTTCAAAGAACTATTACACAAAATTCTATCATAGTCCTGTATTTTTAAAACATGAATTTAGAAATTACCATTTGGTCCGTATGCTGTGCGAGTTGTCTGGGCCAGCTCCTTGCAAGCCTGTATGTTCCTGTACACAGCCTCTTCTAATCCTGAAAAATGCTGGAGAAGAAAACTTCTAATTAGGCAGGACAGTGAGTCTCAACAATTTCTTCATCTGTAAAATGGGAGTAGTAGAATAGTACCTGTCTCAAAAGACTGCTGACATTATCAAGCAAGATTGATGTATGTAGAGCATGGTGTTTGGTGCTCCCATGATACCAAAGATACCATTGTAATCTATGATCCATAGATTTGTCCACTAATTGAATGAATAAAGCATGACATTTTTAGGGACCATGGGTACCTACTTATACATCAAAACAAAGCCTATAATTTTTAAAAAGTGTGGTGAGAAGTGCAGAGAAGAGTGGTAAGACTGATTAGAGAAAGCCTATGAACCACTGCAGATAAAAATACCTTTCCACAGTCTACCAATTCTTTCTAAAAGCTGACATGTGGTATGAATGTGATAAAACCTCAGCATTGTAGAGTCAACAGGTCTATGTTCAGAGGGAATTAACATATTTACCTTATACATTTTTAGAACTAAAGCATACAGATTGTGAATTCTCATTTGAACTGAAACAAACTGCTCATTTGTACACATTAATTCCAATGTGTATACACTGAAAACTGAACTGCTCACAGTACTCAAATTTTCAAATTTTACAATGAACTTCTTTTAGCCATGGGATTTACTTGTGAGTCTCAGATAAATTTCAAGAGCGTACTGTTCATGTGAACATTTTTTAAGAGCTGCTTTGCCTCACAGAGTAGGCAACTGCCACAAGGGGCTATTTAAAACTTAAGTAATTAATTAAAAACTCAGTCCCACAATTGCACTAAACACTGTCCAACTGCCCAGTAGCTACATGTGACTAGTGGATACCATATTGGATAATGCTGATTCAGAACATTTCTATCATAGCAGACAGACAAAACTGCCTTATACTCCTTTTCTCTCCCATTCTCTGAGGAACAGTCACCTCTGACCATAAATCAGATCCTACCCAACGGTTCAAAGACTTCCCCTCACTCTTAGGATAAAATGTAAATCCCCTGTGAGGGCTACAAGGTCCTACACCCTCTAATCCTTGCCAACTCTTCTAATTTCATCTCTTACCACTGTTTTAAGATGTCAAACTCACTTCATCCTCAGAGTTTGGTCCCTTAGCCTGAAACATTTCTGCCGTTAATCTTGGCCACTAAGCACAGAGCTGAGAGTTCTTTCCTTAACATCTTATTTATTGTTCTACCGCAAACTTTCCTTTTTAATTATTTTTAGAGGTGCGCGTCCAATTTCCTTTATCATTATTTGAAATTATCCTTTTTGCTTATTTGGTCACTTATTATTTCTGCCTCAGAAGAATAAAAAAATATGGACAATTCCCAGGCTTTAAAAAAAAAAAAAAGTGAATTCATGTCATTTTCAGCAAAGCTCTTTCACCAATTCTTACAGTAAACCTCCTTAACTACTAGAGTCACATTATCCCCAAAATGCATCCTTGCCAACAAGAAACCTAGTTCCCTCAAACCGTTACCACAAATGGAACCATGCTATCTACATTTCTTTAAGCACAGAAAGTCTGGGAGACAATAGGGAACACAACTAACTGAACATAAAAGACACATTTAACAGTAGTACGTCTAAGACTTTTTTAAAAAAAATACCATGCTGTTAAAATTACTTTCAAGATCTCGCCAAAAAACAAAGGCTTTACTTAGGTCAGGGTGTCACTTACCCTGTGGGTTACAACTCTTTCCGTCCAATCTCCTCAATTGAAAGACGAGGAAAGCAAGACTCAGAGGGTTAAGTTTTACCTCAAGCTGGCTAAGATCAGACCAGAACCCACTGGGATTGTAACTAAGGTTTATCCTACTATAATGTACTATTTCTGAGAACTAAATAGGGAGCCCATCGTTTCTCATTTGCAAGAGTTGCCTCGTCCCTCTTCTCCCCGGACCACCCGCTCCTGTAGCCGTTTCGCAGTACTCAAAGCACCTTCACCTACGTTATTTCACCCACTTTGCGCCCCCCAAAGACAATCCTCCTCACTCCCGTTTTACTGACGGAGGAAAAACGCAAAGAGCGGCCTTCACACCTTGTGCGGATACGAAGTACAGAACGCGCTGCCTGCGGCCTCGTCGCCCACTCGCCGTTTCTGGCCTCTTGCCCCCTCTCCTGGGCCCGTAAAACAAACAAACAAACAAACAAAACCCAGAAATGCCCGCGGCCCTCCGCGGCCGAGCCCTCCCGAGAACGCCTCCCTTTCTGGAATCTTCTTTCCTTCCGACCGCTATGTCGGGTGGGCACGCCGGGCCCGTTCGTAGGCTTCTTTTCTTGGCTGCGGCCGCCGCGGCTCTCCCACCTCATCCCCCCTTCCTCGTTTTCTTACCTTCGCTCCCTCCTTGAGCATCTGGGCAAAGCCCGGGGCCTTGGGGACGTGAAGCGCCATGACCAGTCTGCAGGGAGCCGTTCACGCGCCCTCTCAGAAGACCCCGGAGGAGGCGAGAGGCGCGCACAGCCTCCTGGGAACGTAGCGTGCGGCAGCCTCACGCTCCTCCTCTCTCTTCAGCCGGGCCCGCCCCTTCCCCCGCCGGCCTAGTCTGAACCCTCGCGAGAAGTAGCAATTCGCGTCGCCAGAACTGAGTTGACGATTTTCGATCTGCTCGATCGATGGGGCGGTTCGATCGGGCTCGACCTTCTGTCTTCCGGCCGACGCACGCGTAGGCTGACTGGCGGATGTGGCTCGCTGCCGCTTATTTCGTTCGCTTAGACGCATAGGCTCTGTGGTGGGGACTTTTGAATTTTGTCAGTTTTGTCCTTGAGTTTTGCCACGGCTTCCAAGAATAGCTTCCTTGTAAATCTTCCAGAGCTCCCCACGATATCAGCCAGGTGGGCAGCCCTTTTTTTCCGAGGCCGAACTCCTGCCTTCATCCTCCAAATCTGTGGCTGAACTTGGGCTCAGAATTGGGCGCTGTGGCATCTCTGGGGACTTGAAGGTGATAAATGCAAATCTGAAAGGAAAATTACGTACTGAGTGCTCATATGTGCCAGGCCCCGTTATTTGCTTTATGTACGGTATCTTAGCTAGTGGTCAATCTTTTATTAATTACTTCCTTTTGCAGTTTACAAAAAAGGTAGTTTGTACAAGATAACAGCGCTAGTAGTCTTAAAATTAGGATTTCTACCCAGATTAGATTGCAAAATGCACGTTGTTAAGCAACTGTATTCCTCTTTCCTCCTTTTTTTTTCCTTCTGTTTTTTGGCCGCCCCACAGGGCATGTGGGATCTTAGTTCCCCCACCAGGAGTGGAACCTCGCCCCCCATCAGTGGAAGCATGATGTCTTAACCACTGGAACACCTGGGAAATCCCTTTCCTGCTTTTTCTTGGAAATATAAACCCCTTTTACTTTCCCACACTCCTTTAAAACCTGATCTCTGTCATCCCACATCAGCACATGACTGATTTCAAAAGACTGAATGATGGCAGAATACTTTAAAGAATAATTTCACACAGTGAAAGTAATCCACTCTCCTAGTAAAAAATATAGACAACTGAGTAGAACGTTTGGCTTGTCTTTTGTTCCTTGATTAGACACTTGCAAATTATTTATTTTCCTTAAATTGGGACAGATTTAGTGTGTCTTAAAGGATAATCGTATGTGTTACGTGTACTATAACTTTTTCTAATTAACACTTAAATGCATAATTATTAAAAAAAAATTTTAACCCGCCATCTCAAACAAACGGTATGTGAACCACCTTTTGGGAAACATTCAGCGATCCATAAAGGGTGGTCCAAGGGCAGCAGGAGATTTCCTTATGGTTTAGCTAAGAAATAAATGAAAACTAATTCATCTAACTCAGAGCATTACTTATAAACATAACCAGCAACAGCAAAACTGACAGGGATTAAAGATGACACTTGATAAAATTTTAATAATAATAATTAAGGTATCAAGTCTTGGTAGAGACCATGGTAGATAATTTGAGGATAAAACTATTGATGAATCAAATTTCCATGGAAAGTTTTAGTTAAAAAATTGATCTGGGGACTACCCTGTCAGTCCAGTGATTAAGACTCCACTTTGACAGCAGGGGGCAATGGGTTTGATTCCTCTTAGGGAACTAAGAACCTGCATTCCTCAGCAGCACTGCCAAAAATAATAATAAAAGTAACCATAATAATAACAAAGTTTGACAATTGATATTAATTTTAGTAAATTTAAAAGGAAATGGGAAGGATTAAATCGATTAAAATCTTTTTTTTGTTTGTTTTTATTTATTTATTTTTCCATTTATTTTTATTAGTTGGAGGCTAATTACTTTACATAAATCGATTAAAATCTTCTATATGGTAATTGATCAAGAATTAAATTGATTTAATTGCTAAGAAGAATGCTTTTTAGATAAAAATTCATTTTGTATTACTTGGATTAAATGGTGTATTCATAATTGTGGAATGAAAACTCAAGGGCAGAATTTCCACTGGATCCAAATAGTTAGCCAAATATTCCTTGCCCAGACTAGAAAGGAAACACAAACCCTCAGTATGGCTCTGGGCCTGGCTCTGGTCCCTGCTTATGGCAACTGTATCTTTGCTTTCTTGGCCTTCTGTCTTCTGGCCACAGAAGCCTGAATAGTTCATCCTGTCTGCTTTACCTCCTGCTTCAAGGTCTCAGCCTCTGCTCTGCTCAACCTAGAATGCTCATCTGCTCCCTTTTGACTTAGTTCTACTTCAGTAAACAAACACTTACATTAGAAAGCCTTTGATGACTCCCAAGACATTCCCTGTGAGTCATTCTCACAGCTTCCATGCTTCTCCTTCACAGCACTTATCCTAGTTGTGACAAAATTTGTTGCAATCTTTCCCAACTGGTAGGTAGGCACTGTATCGCCAGCATGTATCGCTGGACATTGCATGAAGCAGAGACTTAACGGATGGCTAAATGGGTGTCTGAATGTTACCGAAAGGTGTGGGGTCCAACTCCTCACTGCTCAAAGGCCAATAAACAGGCCAGGTTGGTGGAAAGGAAATTTTGCTTTATTTCAGATGCTGACAGCTGGGCAGGAGGGCGGACATTCGTCCCAAGGCCGACTTACCCCTCTGGCAACCGGTGGGACAAGAGCTTTTACAGACAGAAGAAGAGGGCTACGTGCGGAAACATCACAGGCAGCTCTGACCGTCATCTTCAAGTTGGTCATCAGTGGTCTGACCAGAGTCCGCTTGGTTGTTTTAGGTACAATTAGTATTCAGTTCTAGGGCAGGTTTGTTTCCACTGTGTTGAGGCCAGTTCTCGGAGTTGTGGCAGCCCAGGGCTTGGCTACAGTCTGTTCATTGTAATTAACTTCTCCACCTGGGAGGGGTTTCAGAGCCTGTAAGACAGCTCACAAGAGACATCTCAGAATTTTCTCTACAGCGCTAGAGAAAGAACTAAAGGTCCTTGACTGTGCTTAATGAGTGTATTATTAGTATTTGTTCTCCTTTGATTGTTTTCCTGTTTCCACATGTTCTCGTTTCTCTGATTAAACTTGTGCTTTGACTAAAGTTTTCCACAAACAAAAGGCAGGCTGAGGACATGAGGCGTGGGGAGGGAAGGCCCATCACATCCTGCTCCGTTTTATGAAGGGAAGACCAAAGAATTGGGAGATGAGGTTTCTAGAAACCAGAAAACAACACAAAGCAATCAAGAGGATTTGCTCAGGAGCTTGCGAAGACCAGGGAGACACAGTCCTTAGCATTCTCTGTGCTCACAGGAACATTTTTGTCATTACTTTAGCTGATAAATCAGATGAGATTTCCCTTGATGAATATATTGTCCTTATTGGATCACCCACTGTCTGCTTAGCTGTGGGACCACCTTTCTGTCATTTGGGGAATTTATTCTGTGGATCCCATAGCAGGAAGAACTGTTTAAACATCTGGTCTGTTAAAGAACAAATGGAGATATTCCTTAAGCCTCAAGTCACCATGAGCCACTTTTTATGGGGACATGCTGAATGGTAAATTTGTCACCAACTTGGTTTGCATCTAGAGGCTGCTTTTTCATGTGGGGTAAACCGGGAGAGGTCACTCCCTTTGTTTCGGGAGTAGTGGTCTATGAGTTAGGCTTTCTGAGGTTGCAAGGAAACAAAATGCTGGTTATTAAGAATCACAAAAATGTAATAAATCACACAAATATCTTTTCATGTGTACAGAGTTACCAATTTCATATCTTAGTTTATCTCTGTTTCTATGCCTTCTACCAAGCTGGCATTTTATTCTCTTTACCTCTTTCAGCTGATTTTTCTTCTTTCTACATCTTAGCTTTGGCTGGCATCCTTTTCTCTATGTCTTTTAGTTTTCCAACCCCCTCAGATGGGTTTCTGTGTGTTTCATTCTTAAACATCCAAGAAAAAGGGTCGGGTTCATTCAATATATTGCTATCGAACAACTCTCTCCCCACCCCAGTTTCGACTGAATTCTCATCAAGGATACTACAAGTTTCTATGGCTGCCTAGGCTGATACAAGACTTCCTGGTGCCCTTAATGGTGATCAGCGGGCCAGGATCATCTGTGACTTTAGTATAAAGAATGCTTTGCAGCTGTTTTGTGTGAAAATGAGCTCTGCATGTGCCTGACATTTAGATTTTCATCAGTAGTCCAGTCAATCTGTCCAAGGCTAGGCTGTAGTTAGCATCTCCCTTAAAGCCTTTCTGGATCCACGAAAGTAAAAAGAAATTATATTTAATTGTAGGCTTCCCAGGTGGCGCTAGTGGTAAAGAATCCACCTGCCAATCCAGAAGAGTCAAGAGACAAGGGTACAATCCCTGGGTTGGGACGATCCCCTGGAGGAGGAAATGGTAACCCACTGCAGTATTAGTGCCTGGAAAATTCCATGGACAGAGGAGCTTGGCAGGTTGCAGTCCATAGGATCGCAAAGAGTTGGACACACAGCACAACACACAGTTAATCCCTTCTTGGTTATTACCATTATGAAAATGGAGATCGTGGACGGGATGAGAGTGATCATTTCCCCCTCAACTGTAAATGTTGGCTTAGTTGTCCCATGACTATTTATGGCTATAATTGAACTGGTTTAGTTACAGGGATGAGAAAGGTGAAATGGAGTGAAACAATGTATTTAAATTCTATTTGTGAGGCCTTAGATCTCTAGAGATTGATGGAATCTCTTAGTTGACTTGAGAGAGAAGTTCCCCTTCAGCTGTTATGAATGGATTATTGATAAACTAAAAATATGTTTACCAGTCCCTCTCTTAGTAAAATTAGAAGTTACTGCCTTAGTTCCGCTAGATTGGCACACAGGTGTGGTTCTCAGACCAGAGAGCGGAAATCGTATGTCCAGGTCTACTTGCAGTTGTATACAGATGTGAGAGTTGGACCACAAAGAAGGCTGAGTACTAGAGAATTGATGCTTTTGAACCATGGTGTTGGAGAAGACTCTTGAGAGTCCCTTGGACTGCAAGGAGATCCAACCAGTCCATCCTAAAGGAGATCAGCCCTGAATATTCATTGGAAGAACTGATGCTGAAGCTGAAACTCCAGTACTTTGGCCACCTGATGGGAAGAGCTGACTCACTGGAAAAGACCCTGATGCTGGGAAAGATTGAGGGCAGGAGAAGGGGATGACAGAGGATGAGATGGTTGGATGGCATCACTGACTCAAAGAAGATGAGTTGGAGCAAACTCTGGGAGTTGGTGATGGACAGGGAAGGTTCAGTGACTGAACAACCACAACTTGTGGTTATGGTTCGGGATATAAATAAGTCTCCCCCAGTCAGAGACCTTATGTGAGGGTTGGAAGGTGGTGGGGAGACAGAGTCTATTTTCATGCTGCTTTGTTCTTCCAGCAAGCAGAGTCATGAGATGATGCTGTTTTGGCATTACTGATCCACTAGTTGCTCTGTGTGCGGGGCAGCTGAGGTGGTGGCAAAGGCTTTTTATCCTGGCTTCCTGCTCTTTCCACACAGCTGCAGTGGTGTGTTCTTGATCTCAGGCTGTCCGGTGGTGAGTCCTGATTCCCACCTTTCTGACCTACAGGAAATATAAGCTCCCAAGATGGGTCAGTTCTGTGACACCTAGGATTTATTCCTGGAGGCCCACCTGAGAACTTGCTGCATTCATCCGTGGTGGGCTTCTGAAGCATCTGATTCCTTGTATGAAAACCTTTTCTGTTTCTGATACCTAGAAGTTTCTGTTTCCTACATGGAATGCAAATGGAAGCAATTGCTGAGTTTGTGATAGTGGGTGGGCTGAGGGCTGATAGGTTAGGAGTCCTAAACTGAGACAGTTCTCATTTTCCAAAAGGCTACCTGGATTTGTGTTCTTGGAAATGAGAGTTCCAAGAAAGCAAGCAGAAATGGGCAATTGCCTTGTCAAATCTGCCACTATCACATTGGCCAAAGTAGGCCCACGCACAGGGTCAGTGTAGGAGGGCAGCCTCAAAGGGTGTAGACAGAAGGAAGCATGAAAATTGAGGACAAGCGTGCAGTCAATGTACCAAAGGAACCAATTTACTGTTTAGGATTCACTGGACAGCAACATTGCTTAAATTAAAATTTTCTCTTAGTGCACTACTGATATTTTTTCCCCTTGAGCTGCAGTGAATGGCTGATAACATCTACATTGAAAAGATTCAGGCTGAAAATTAGTGTGGTACTTCTTTGCACTGTAGAAGTTCAGTGTCTTACTTTTCCATTTATTTATATTTTGAAATAGATGCAGAACTTTTAAGAAGGCACGATATTGGTACTTCCTGAAGATATTGAGATGTTTGCCTTGGTTAGTTCCTCAACTTTCTCAGCTTTTATTTTACTGCACAGACTATCTGCACCCTGGATTCTAGTTTGAGAATATAACTTTTAACCATCTTTTATCAAGTCCTTATCAAAAGACTAGTTGCAAAAATTAACATTTGAGGGAAATTCCATTTAGGTAATAAGTTTTGCCCTGGGATCAAGCCAGAGCATCAACATTCTAGTTCTTTGGAGAACTGAGTTTGATAAAATGCATTACATTATCTTATATGGGTTGGCCAAAAAGTTGGTTAGGTTTTTTTCCATAATGTTATCACGGAGTAGCAAAAGAGTAAAGAATACTGAAGGAAGAGTCAGTTGTAACAGCCTCTTAACTTTATTCTTGGCCTGTTTGTGTGGATGTCAAGCATTTTGTTACACAATATCCTTTTTGTATGCCTGCGTGTTTAGTCCTGTCTGACTTTTTTTGGCCCTATGGACTGTAGGCTTCTCTGTCCATGGGATTTTCCAGGCAAGAATACTAGAGTGGATTGCCATTTCCTCCTCTAGGGGATCTTTGCAATCCAGGCATTGAAGCCGTGGCTCCTGCAGCTCCTGCATTGGCAGGTGGATTCTTTACCACTGAGTCACCTGGGAAGCCCTTTTAATATGACCTGTGGGGAAAATTAATCATTCAACCATTGTTTTTATCTTATGATCCCAATGAGTCTTACAACTTCTTCATTTCTCTTAAATTACTAGAAACTTTGAGCCAGTATGTAGCATAGCTCTACCGACTATACGGTGTGACGTTTCTGTAGACTATTCATTAGTTGGTTATATTGTTTTCTTGCTTCTTCTTTCTTATTTTGCCCAGACCATCTCAACTTAAAAAAAAATCTTTATCAATGTTATTTATTTTTATGTCACATCAAATCCTTTATGGTATGAGCTGAGTATTTTTTAAAGTGCTAGTTTATGGGTTTACAGATAGGTTAGGGATGATTAAAGGAGTTAGAGGCTTTATTGGAGAATGACCTTTTCCCTTTCTTTCTTTCTTCGTTTCTTTCCTTTCTTACTAATTTAAAGAGAGAAGTTGACATTTTTGCTAGAAACACAACCACACTATAAGTAACACAAAACCAAAGTATAAAACAAGCTTGAGATCTTCTTACATTACCATACATTAATTCCATTGAAAGCAATGAGGGACTGGCACTTCCTTGGGTGTCCAGTGGTTAAAACTCTCTGCTTGCACTTCAGAAGGTGCAGGTTCCATCCCTGTTCAGGTAATTAAGGTCCCATATGACATGGGGTGTGGCCAAAAAAATTGTAAAGGGAATCAAGGATGATTGTAGAATTTTTTGCTTAAGATACACATATTCATTAATTCATGTAAAACAGTTCCCAATTTTGTTTAGTTATTTAGCACATGAGCTAGTATTTATTTCTGTGGCTGGATTAGCAAGTTTGCTTGATATTTCAAATGCTTATCGGCCATCATCATTCTCACTGGTCCTATTCTTAATGTTTTGGCTATTTTTGTTACAATGATTTCTACTGGGATTTTCATTAGGATCAGTCATTTGTCTCAGGGGAATAAAATTAAGAAGGATCTATGTGTCTATTTATGAAATGGTTGGGTAGAGCAACTGCATTTTCTCATTGCTATCTGACAGAGCTGTTTTCTCTTCCTTAGCAGACGTTCACTCTTCTGAACCTATTCCAAGCTGCACTGCCGAGATGAAAGTTAAATCGCTTCAGGAATCTTGATGAGGAAGGAGGAGACAGGCTACCAAAAATCCCTTCCAAAATATATGTATATTTTTGGTCCCCCTACAACATCATCCAGGGATCTTTGACAACTTAAGAAAACAGTTTAACAACAGTTAGAAATTAACTTCCTGAGATGAATAAGGAAACATATTTAGAAAGGCTAGAAAGCAATATGTATTAGAAAATGCAAGGCAAGGTTTAGAACATGTAAAAACACGCAATCACTCATCTCAAGGTGATTCTCATACTTCACAAAAAATTACAAAGGAAAAAGGAAAAAAAAATAGTAAGAAAAATATGTGTCTCCAAGCCTATATACTTTATCCTTACTTGAAATCTGGAATGACTCTTAGGCCTTTGCCTGGGGCCTTTGGACTGAGAATTGTGAAATAATGCAGCTCATTCCTAGAAGCTTTATCGTTTGGTTTCTCAGGCAGATCAAATGCCAACGGGTGTGAGCAAGCACAAGCCAAGAACAGTCAGACAGATAATAGC